CACCAACCCCTTTCCGCGTCCTCGCCCGGGACCCGCTGGCAGCCCGGGGGACGCCGGCAGCGGACCAGCCAACTCCGAGGCGGGGACGCCGCAACGGCAACTTGAGGTGGGAACTTTGCGGGGCACCGCGGAGCCGCTGACCGGGTCGGGTTCTGGGTCAGCTGCACGAGGACGTGACCCCGGGCTCCCCGGCAGGGACCCCAAAATCTGCCGAGTCGGTCGGCTGGGGCGACGGAGGACCCGGGTGCAGCCGCGGGTGGGGGCGTGGAGCGTGCTGGCCACAGTCACGGTGCGGGTCCAGCTTGTGTTCTTCCCGAGGGGTCCCGGGGTGCGAAGTGCGGGACGTCCTCTGATCTAAGAACCTGTTCCAGGGCGCGGGTAGGGGTGGCGCTTCCTGGCCGTGGCGGAGGTTTCTCTCCCCCTCGCGGGATCCCGGGAGGCAGGAGTGGAGAGGGAGGTGGAAGGGGGCGTCTATCACTCGCTCATTCACTCTATCCTTAGGCACGGAATGGAGCCTCCCACCAGTGGGCCTTACTGAGTCATTCATTAACTCAACAAGCTTCTTACTGAGCGCCTACTGTGTGCTAGACGCTAGGGATTCCGAGATAGCTCTATTCACCAGAGGCTCCGGCACCCAGTATGAAAGGTAGTGGTGGCCACTTCATCCTCAGGGGACCCATACCCAGGAAGGGGCTCAGCCTGGATGGATTGGAGTTTGGAGATGAGGGAAAAAAAGAGAGAAGTTCATTGATTCATAGACCAGACAAAGATTGGTTGAGCACCCACTATGCGCAGCTCACCATGCCAAATGCCCATCATTCATTATTTCATTCATTTAACGACAGTTACTAAGGCACGTGCTGGGGAGAGAACAGTGAAGGAGAGGAATGGGGTGGGGGGCAGGATTGGATGAGAGCCGGCTTGCAGTTTAGAGAAAAGTGGGGATTAAGACCCAGCCCCTCCCTTGATGAGGCCCCAGCCTGCAGAGGTGGCTCACTCTAGCAATCCCTCTGTGTGCAGACAGAATGTCACTGGACGGGATGTAGAATGGTCTTTTCTTGGTCATCTAATGCATTCGTTCTCAAGGAGAAAGTCTGGAATAGGTTCTTAGATCAGAAGAAAGGGTCTTTAAAAAGCTCCTTAGAAGACCGGAGGGTGGGAATGGGGGGTAGGGGGATTTAAGAAACACTGAGCTGACATTACAGGTGAAGTCAGGCTCCCACCCATGGGGTCTCTGAGTTAGTTGTCTGTTCAGCAAGTATTTTATAGAGCACTTGCTATTATTATTAAGCACTTTAAGGGTGCCAGGCACCAAAGTCACCCAGGTCGATGACACAGACTTAGAGACCCCTTCACTGACACCTTGACATAAGTGCAGGGGGAGGAGAGGAGGGAGCAGGAGCAGGAGCTGCTCTGATTCGTTGGTGGTAGGGAGTAGGGGGCGGCTCCTGCCTCTGTGAACCTGAGCAGAGGTGTGTCACTAGGGTGTGTTTGATACCCACACACGTGACTGCAGTCAGGGTCACTGTGGGGAGCCTCACCAGAGCACATCTCCAAGGAAAGTTTGAGACCGACCTTGATGTTGGGGCCAGGAGGGCCACATGGACTTCTCGGGCTCTGTCAGACCTGAGCTCCACCCCTGTGTCCTCTGTCTCTGGGCTCTGCGGAGGCACTTGCTGAGTGGGGGTGGGAGCAAAGGTATCTTTGAAAGATGGTGAGGATGACCCCTGAGGATTGACCTCAACAGCCGTTCCAGGAGAAAGATGTCTGTGGTGGGACATTCTCCAAGCCCACAGGGAACCATGTGTTCTGGAAACCAGACAGCCTTGATTTCTGTCCTGAGGCTTGAAAACGCAGGCTGGGGGCGCCCTGGAGCCTGACTGAGGCAGCTCTGGGAGCCCCGGTCCCACTACCACCTTGAATTCTCTGCACCAGATACACAGCTAGATCTGGCCAGAGGCGAAGGAGAAGCCCCAGGGAACAGAAGAGCAGAGAGGTGTGTCCTGGATGCAGGGCTAAGATACGCAAGCCGGGACTAAGGAATTAGCCCCTGCATCCGTAAAGGGTGTCTTGGCTGAACGACCCTTTCTTCACATCCCCTTTCCTTATGCATGATGAATAGTCAACATTTCTGGTTGCCAAAGATAGAGGGGTCTGGGAATGCACTCTTGATTGACTCATTAAACCCAGAAATGGAGCCCCTGAGTGGAAAATGGCGGCTGGAAAAGCCACTCTAAATAGAATTAACAAAAAGGGAGAGGCAAGAAAGTCTAGCTGCAAGCACTCAATCACTGTTGGCCATTTTTATTATGTAGCAGACTGTATTCGATTAACAAAATCAGGATATAAAGTGAATGTGCTACAGATAGGATCATAATTGTGCCTCCGGTTTTCCCCGCTCTGCGGTGACTTTGCCTCCCACCCGCCGGTCCCCAGGCCGGCAGGCGGGCCGGCAGGCACAACCATGCCCTCCCTCCTCGCTTCCTCGCCTCCCCACCACAGCTCACCCCCAAGACTGCAGCCTACTAAGAGACTGTTCTTTCTAAGGAAAAAGAACTGAGGGATTGTTTAAGCAGCTGTCCCCTTCCTGCAGTCCCAAGGTCCCCACTGCTCCCCAAAGCCTGTTTCTCTGCTTACTCCTGGTTCCCAGATTTCACCCTGCAAGGAGGCAAATAGAAAAGGACCTTCTGGCTCGCACCCCAAAACACCTGCTGGTGGAAAGCAAATGTGCATTTGGTATTATTTTGTAGCGGCTCAATAGAGAGGCTCCAGAAGCTACCTCTGTCTTTTTTATGGGGGGACTCTGGCATGTTTTCTCATGTGGGGGCAGGTGGGGGATGGAGGAAGAGCCCACATCCTCCCAAATATCCCCCTCCCCCTAGGAACTTGGGCTTCAGCTCAAAGGAATCAGGATTGAGGTCCACCATGATTAAATTGTGACGAGGATGGATGACAGGTAGCTAAGAAAGACAGATTCTCCACGTGGGTACCGCATCTCTGAGATCCAGCATGCCAGGACCTGGGCCAGGCTAATGGCTGGATTCATTTTGATTAGCATTTTAATTGGGGATTAATGCAGCATAACCCGCCTCTGAGTCAGCCCAGCCAGGAGCCCTAGCCCTGGCTGAGGAAGCCACACTGGCAGGGGAAGGGCAGCGTGGAGAGATCTGTGGGGCACCCTCCCCACCAGCTCAGGGTTAGGGAATGACACAGGCTGAGAAGTAAGGTGTGAGAAAGAACCAACGCCCCAGGAGCTCAGGAAAAATATGCCTTTCTTTTAGAAAGTTGTCTTGGAGGCTGCGTTAGAGTCCTACTGCCACATATTACCACCAATTTAGTGGCTTAAAACAATGCAAATTTATTATCTTCTAGTTTTTGGAGATCAGAAGTCCAAAACGGATCTTGGTGGACTAAAACAAGGAGTCAGCAGAGCTGTGTTCCTTCGGGGGAGAATTCGTTTCTTTGCCTTTTCCAGATTCTGGAGGCTCCTGGCCCCACATCACTCCAACCTCTGCTTCTGTCCTATCTCCTTCGCTGACCCTGACCCTCCTGTGATGACTGGGCCTGCCAGGTAGTCCAGGGTCATCTAAATCTTCTCCCCATCTCAAGATCCTTCATTTAATCCCACCAGCAAAATCTGTCCACCAACACGTAAGGTAGCATATTCTCAGGTTCAGGGGATTATGATGTGGCCGTCTTTGGGGGACCATCACTCTGCCTACCATAGGGGCCTCCCTCAGCAGTTTATGTTACGATGGGGAAGCCGACTAAGTGACTTCACTTCAGCGCCCGGCGAGAGGGAAAGCCAGCACCGAAGTCCAGCCTCTGGAAGATGTTTTCTATTTCACAATCCTCCCCTAAGAAGGGAAATGTGAGGGGAGGGGTGGGGCGCAAGCTCGCTGCACAAAAGCCATTCTAGCAAACACAGCCCTTAGGATGGGTCGGACACAGCTCCAAGCGCTTACAAGATGAGTGCAATGATTATCCCAGTTTACAGCTGAGGACACTCAGGCACAGAGAGATGAAGTCATCTGCTTAGGGATGCACAGCTAGTAAATGGCAAGCCAGGCAGCCTGGATCAGAGGCCCCACGACTGGAGAGCTCTTCCACCCCGAGGCCAAAACAGCAACTCAGAATTTGACAAAACCTGGGGTTTTGTTGATTTCTCACTCTGCTCTTGTGCAAACACACGACAGGAATAAAGATGCTTCCCCCAGCTGTGGGCAATCGCCTGCTTTTCCTCATCCCCAAAGACCTTCCAAAAGCTTGTCCGTAGAAAATAGAGATGAGAGACCCAGTCTTCCTGTAAATGGTACAGACACACCCCACCCCCCACCAGGAACCAATGATCCAGGGCGGCAGTAAAATGCAGTCAAAGAGGCTTGGAGTCCCACAGACCCGAGTTTGCTTCTGCCTGCATCACTCAGCACCCAGGTCATTAGTGTTCACTCTCCTCATATATAAAATAGGGGCGTTGATGATGACGCCTGCCTCCAGGAAGGACAGGCTCACACACGGCGCCTGGCACTTAGCCTGCGATTCAGGGAGGCTGTGGCTGTTACTATTTCTCGCGTTGCGCGTGTTCAGCCCTCTCTCTGCATTCCCCGTTCCACTCAGAAGAGTGACAGAGGGCTCCGTCCTACGGGATGGGCACAGGGTAGAAGAGCAGAGGCCACTCCCGCTCCTTCCTCCTACCCACCCCAGGCCCTGCACCCCCACCTATGGTCAGACCCTGACCGCAGAGTGGGCTCTCTGGGGGGCTGATACTCAGAGCTCCTTACGGCTTAAATGATCATTTATCTTTGGAAAAGTGTACTCAGCCCTCAGTGCTCGTGAACATCACCTTTCTCTCGAGAGGAAGGGAAAGCATTGCGTGGGAGTGTCAGCAGATCTGCGGGCTCACGAAGGGGGACTCGATCAAGGCTTTCCTCTCCAACCAGAGAGTGTACACTTCCCCAGTGAAGCTCCCCAAACAGGGGACCCACAGAGCCTTCCAGAACCCCAGGGACATGGAGAAGTTGGGCAAGGGACTCCCAGCCAAAGCCCGGAGCAGCTAGCTCTTGCACCCCCTGCCCCTGGGAGCCTCCAGGCATTTGTGGCACCCTCTCTTCTCGCATATGGGAGAACCTCTAAGGGAACCTTCAGATTTCCCATTCCCAGGCCTCCCCCTCAGGCATTCTGCTCGAGAAGGTCTGGGGAGGGCCCGGGAATCTGCATCTCCGCTGAGCACCCAGGGCAGTCCGGAACCCTGTGGTTTGGTTGTTCTTGTGCTCTTCATTTTTCTTTTGCTCTTCATTTTTCTTTTCTTTACCTGGATTAAAGCCCAGAGCTGTGTTAGACGCACTCTTCATCGTTGGCCTGTACCAGGCCGTATTATTCATTGTCCCCTTGGTCCCCTTCCCTCCCTTCCTAGGCATCCTCCCCATGGTGAATACAGATCCTTACATGTACGTGAGTCTGTAAAATATGTAATGTGTGTGTGTTCATTTACATAAATAGCATAGAGCTATAAACTTCTATTTCTTTTTCTACTCGGCACCATGTTTTTAAGATCTAAATGTGTTGCTAAACTTACATCTAGTTCATTGCTTCTAATTCCTGTGCCATCTACAGGAGTCCGCCATCTGCGTCTACCATGACTCACTTGTCCATCTCCCCACCCCACCCTGGGATGGATGCTAGGGGACCTCCTAGCACTACCCACGACACAGGACACACATTCTCGTACCTTGTTCCTCTTACATCCAATTCCCCAGAAGCAGATCCCGAGCCAAGGATTTGAGAGCAAATAATTTATCACTAACGATACCTGCCAAGTCCCCTGTGGACCCAGGTCTGGGAAATCTACCCAAGAGTGGGATTCCTGGGCCGCAGAGCACCAGCATCCTCCATGTCCCTCAGCACCCCCGGTGGCTTTCCCAGAGGCTGTACCAGACCACACTCCCTCCAGCAGTGAGCTCTGGGGTCAGACAATGGTGGGTTCAGTCCCTCTGGATCAGGTCAAGAAAGGAGTCACCCTTGGCTGGCGGAGCGGGGGAATGACAACCCCCCACCCCACACACACACACACACACACACACACACACACACACACACACACACACACACACACACACACACACACACACACACACACACACACAAGGCTAATAATAATACAGCAGGCGTCCACTGCATGTCAGGCGTTGGGGTAAGCATGTCACCATGGCATGCTGAGTCCTCACCACAACTCAAGAAGGCGGGAGCTTTTCATATCCCCATTCTACAGACCAGGCAGAGTCTCAGAGGTCACACATGACTTGCCCAAAGTCACAGTGACTGACTGGCCTTGAACCCAGGTCTTTTGATTTCGGAGCTAGTGGGCTCTTCCGCTTCCAGCAGAATCCCTTCAATCCACCACGCCCTAGAAGTGACTGACCTAACACTGCAGAGAAATTCTAAAAGACCATATATTGTTGTGAGAGGATCGGGCTGGGTGAAAAGTCGTGTTATTTTCCAGAAGCAGGACTTTGAGGCCTGTTTGATTTATGACCTTCACTCTAGACTGTAGAGTCTGGCATGCGGAGCCATCCCTCCCCCACCCCCCCCACATCCATCAGACTGGGTGCAAGGAGAAGCGTGCCCATTCTTCCTTTAGGAAGAATTCCAGGGTCTGGCCCTCCCCGGGACTCGGGCCTTCCACGCACAGAGCGGCCTGAACAAAGCACGTTTTTCCTCTTCTCCTTCCTAAACCGTCTGCTGAGAAAGAGTCGCTTTCTACGTGGGATGCTTTCTACGTGAGATGCTGTGGCTTTCAGTCACAACCGACGCAAGGCATGAGAGAAAGAAAGGCAGAATCGCTAACTGGGGGAGCTTTCTGCTGGAGGGAGCGTCAGGAGGGTTGAAAGAAGAAGTTCCTCAAGAGAATTGGGGATTACAGCCTCGGAGTTTCACAAGAGGCCTCCCGAGAGGAATGTTCCTTAGCCTCCATCACCGTTCTCGCCAGACAGAATGTCGCTTTTCCTCTTATCTTTGGTGGCAAAGAAACAGCCACCAAAGATACAGCAGCAGAGCTGAAAAGCGGCATCACTGATGGGAAGTGCCCAAAAGAGACCCTTCCTCTCTCTCCTCCGGGGATTTCTCACGGGCTTTGCCTGAGGATGTGGATGGTTCCAATTTTAGGTAAAATTAAAAAGCATCCTCAACTCTTTAAAATCAAGTCATTTGTGTTCCAAACACAGGTATACTCTAGTTTTCTAAAACCCAATCTGTGAAACTAGCTTCCCCCAAAGATGAATGAGTGGAGTGAGGATTTGCTTTGGTAGAATAATTCCTATTAGGAAGGATCCCCTTTCCAACGTGGAAACTCCCCTCCCGAGGGGTTCAACACTTTGTCATCCACACAGGGTGTGTGTGCGTGTGTGTGCACGTGCGCGTTTTCCCTGAATTTATCCAGGGCAGAGATTGACACTCAGGAATTGGAAATGGATTTCCATGTAGAATTGACAGTCTTGCTTCTATGGAGTATTGGGCTGGGCGGGGGCGTTAGTAGGGATGATGATTCTAAAAAGCAAAGTATTAGACTCATTTCTTTTCTATGGATTGGCTTGATTCTGGAGAGCTCTGTTGCTATAATCTAGGGGTCTCAAACTCAAATGCCTACAGGGGCCAGGAAGGAAATACGCATGAGTGACGTGTAGTGGGAAGACAACACGAAGAGTTGGGGACTGTGGTGGATGGCAGCATGCATGCCCTGCCTAAAGCAGACAGTCACTTCTTAGCTGGAATTTGGGCCAAATGTTACCAGATAGTCTGTTTTTGGTTTTGTTTTTTTTTGCCCCCAAGAGAAACGAAGAATATGAATTTTTACATGAAAATTCTTCATTTTCTAAAATCTTCTCCAAGCCAGGCAAAATATCTGTGAACCAAATTCAGCCCATGAGCTATGAATGAATAAGCAATCTCATTCTAGAAGCACAAACACTTAGCTTTGAGGGTCGAGAAGGAAGGAGTCTATGTAAGCTGATATTTTGACCTCAGTTTCTCAGAAGCACCTTCATCATGCTGGCCTTACCAGCAGCAAATGTACTTATTGGGCGAGCATTTCTCTGAGCTCTGAAGCTGCTGGGCACAGGGACTGAGAGATGAGTAAAGTACAGTCCTTCCCCCAGGGAGCAAGCGGTCTAATAAAGGAGCCAGGCTTGCACACAGATAATTCTAAAATTGGGTGATAAGTGCAGTAAAGATAAGTGTACCAAGAAGGAAGGTGGGTGGAGCTTGATTTAGCTGCAAGAGGCAAGGAAGCCTTCCTGGAGGAGTGAACATACCTGTCCAGTTCAACCCTCAAGATGACATTTTGCTGATTTGTGAGCAAACATGGCACTATTGTCATAATCGTGAATTTCTTTGATTGCCTCTCATCTATGACAAATGACATGGGTTTTCCATTTATGGGAGCATTACAAGGTGTCCCTTCAAGATAAATATGAATAGTAATAATAGACAACAATTATTGAGTGCTTGCTATGTGCCAGGCACTATATTAAGTGCTGTTAGGTACATAATTCATTGAATCATCTTGATAATTCTGTGAAGTAGGTCCTATGGTTATACCCATTTCGCAGATAAGGAAACTGACACACATCAAAGTTGAATAAATTGCTAGGGCCATGAGGCTCCAAAGTCTATGCTTGTAACCCTTTGGCCCTATGGACATTGTGATCCAGATAATTCTCTGTTGTGGGTTCTGGCCTGGGTGTTGTACGATGTTTAACATCCTTGGCCTCTATCTACCAGATGCCAGTAGCATCCGCCAGACGTGCCAATCAAAAGTGCCTCTGGATATAGCCACGTGTCCCCTGGGAGACAAAATTGGCCCTGATGAGAACCACTGGTCTACACTAAACCTTTCCGAGCTAAATAAATACAAAAAAATTGGAGCTACTGTACAATAAGTGTGAAATAAATAATAGTACAGATATTGCATGATGGCCCACTAGCATGTCAGCTCTGGGGGTCAGGGGCCACGTCTGATTCTGTGCATGGCTGCGCATCACAGGTGCTTAAAGCAGCACTCGGTAAATTTTTGTGGAATAAACGAGGTGAGTGTGGAAGAATCGTGAAGTTTAGGACGCTGAATGACAGTGCTGCTGTGTTCACTCTCAGGTGAATGTCTCAGCTCGGGCTGCTATGACAAAGTCCCTAGACTGGGTGGCTCAAAGAACAGGCATTGACTGCTCACAGTTCTGGAGGCTGGAAGTCAGAGACCAGGGTGCCAACGTGGTCGTGCTCCCTGAGGACCCGCTTCCCAGCTGGTAGATGGCAGCCTCCTCGAAACGCCCTCACAGGGGGAGCGGGAGCCGGCTCTGGTGTCTCTTCCTCTCTTTATAAGCACTAATCCCATCCTGAGGACCCCACCACCCTCACGACCTCATCTACACCTAACCACCTCCCACCGCGGACACAGTCCCATTGGGGGTTAGAGCTTCTCCTTATGGATCTGGGGTACACCAGTCAGTCCACGTCGCAAATATCTGCAGTCAGCATGGTCCGCTAAGACTCAGGAGTCACTGAAGTCTTTTCCTCCCTTTCTCCTCCCAGGCCCGAGAGGGATGTGAAGGCCCAAAATGACCCTCTTACCCGGAGACAATTCTGATTACGACTACAGCGCCCTGAGCTGCACCTCGGACGCCTCCTTCCACCGGGCCTTCCTCCCGCAGAGCCAATCGCTCAAGGGCGTCTTCTACCGGCGGGCCCAGCGGCTGCGGCCGCAGGACGAGCCCCGCCCGGGTGGCCCGCCCGAGGACCGCCGGCGGCGCATCATCATCAACGTGGGTGGCATCAAGTACTCGCTGCCCTGGACCACGCTGGAGGAGTTCCCGCTGACACGGCTGGGCCAGCTCAAGGCCTGCACCAACTTCGACGACATCCTCAACGTGTGCGACGACTACGACGTAACCTGCAACGAGTTCTTCTTCGACCGCAACCCGGGGGCCTTCGGCACCATCCTGACCTTCCTGCGGGCGGGCAAGCTGCGGCTGCTGCGTGAGATGTGTGCCCTGTCCTTCCAGGAGGAGCTGCTCTACTGGGGCATCGCCGAGGACCATCTGGACGGCTGCTGCAAGCGCCGCTACCTGCAGAAGATGGAGGAGTTCGCGGAGATGGTGGAGCGGGAGGACGAGGATGACCCGCTGGACAGCGAGGACCACGACAGCGAGGGCCCCTCTGAGGCCGAGGGCCGCCTGGGCCGCTGCATGCGGAGGCTGCGCGACATGGTGGAGAGGCCACACTCGGGGCTGCCCGGCAAGGTGTTCGCCTGCCTCTCAGTGCTCTTCGTCACTGTCACCGCTGTCAACCTCTCCATCAGCACTTTGCCCAGCCTGAGGGAGGAGGAGGAGCAGGTAAGAGCCCACAGCTGTGTGTGGGGAGCCTCGCTGCAGTGAGGGAGGGTCTCTGAGCACAGGGGACAAAGCAGTCTGCTAGGCCATCTCCTCCCAGCAGTCGGCATCCTTCACTGCGCACACGCTCACCTCCTCCAGGATGCCTTCCCTGACTGCGTGCTGGCTGCGGAGCATCCCCAGCCCTCCTGACATCATGTTCACATGTGGTTGTCCACCTCCACATTCAAGTATGAGCTCCATGCCTGTCCTGGTCTTCACTGTGCCCCCAGGGTCTAGAATATCCAGAACACCAAGGCACTCCGCCACTCTGTTGAATGAATGAATGAACGAATGAATGAGTGAATAAATGGATGATGTGATTTACGATGTGCCGGGCCCTGAGCTAAGCACATAACATGTAGCATCAAAATTTTCCTCACCAACTTAAGTCTTTTCTCAACCTTCCTAATTCCCTCGTATAAAAACATTCCCAGAAACATTTTCTCGGTCCTGAATGTAATTTTAATTGCTAGGTACAAGTGTGTGTATGCGTGTCTTCAGAGAGTGAGCATTTCTTTGTGTTAATAAGAGAACACATGTAAAGTGTTTACGCCAGGGCCTGACACTGGGTGTGTGCTCAATGCTCACTTAGCAGGCAGTTAAACGGAGCCGGGGTGGGCCGCAGCCGTGCGTGTAGCCTGTCTCCTCTGCGAGTCTTTCAGCAACCCGGTTCGGAAGGTGTTCTCACACCCACTTGACAGATGAGAACACTGAGGCAGAGCGGCTCGCGCAGACCCGGGTCTGAGTCCGAATTCTGTGTCCTTATACGTGGAAGTATGGGTTCCACCCGGCAACCTGGGACCTAATATAACCCCACGAAAGTGTGTGATTGGCCCACACTGTCCTTCCAAAATGTTGACTTGGTTGCCAACATTTAAGAGTAAGGTGTTTTTCATTTAAAATTCAAACTCCCACTTCTCTTAAAAATCTATATGGTTGGGCCCCCTGGCCTGCCACCCCACATGGCATCTCTCAGAGGTAGCTGAGTCCACGGGATAGTTGCTCCCCAGTCCAGCCTCCTCTTATGTGAGACCCTTGGGCCTGAGTCGGGTCCCCTTCCCCACACATGGAAGAAGTTTCGAGACAAACCAAAAGGTTCAGACAGGTAGCAGTTGTACCAGCATTGGAGAAGTAGGTACGGCGATGTGAACCGAATATAAGTATCATGCCGCTAGCATTTATTGAGCACTGGCTGTGTACCCTGCACCTAGTACTTTACTTGTGCTCTCTGGTTGAACTGTGGAGCTACTCACCCAGTGAGGGTTTTTCCACATACATATATTCCAGAAGAAGTAGCAATACTGTTGCATTTATAACTCACAAAGGGTTTCCAGCACTTTTTTACATATTGAATTTTTAAAGCCAGTATTAGGAAAACAGCACTCCACCAGTAAAATTAACTTCTGATAAGCAAGAGGGGTCGTGATGAAGAGGGTGGGGCTAGGACCTGACGGCCTGAATTAGAAACTTCTTTCCTCCACTCTGGCTGTGTATCTGTAGGCAAGTTACTGAACCTCTCTGTGTCTCTTCACTGGTCCAAGGGGTTATAATAAACAGGCCCACCCACGGTGTTGTGAGGGTTCAGTGAGTGAAATGATTGGAACAATGCCCAGCTCAGGAGCGGGCAGGAAATGCTAACTATAAGGGTTATAATCCGCTGCCAAAAAAAGACAAGAAATGCTCATCATTTGAGACCTGTCTGGAAGTACCTGTACTGAGTACAGATTCCGTTTTAGCTCCAACATAGGCGATCCTGATTTCATCAGGAAAACACTAATAAAGCCACTGTTTTATTCAACTTCTGATCATTGCTTTTTAAAAAAAATCATACCTGGCCTAGTGCTCGCTTCGGCAGTACATGTAATAATACCTGGCCTTTTCCCGGATTCAGTGAAAATACTGTTCTTCGACTTCATTTTGGGGGCCAGTGGGGTTCACTGTTTCATTTGCTCCTGGAGCACATGTTTGAGTGCCTGTCATATTCAGGTACCACAAGGGAGGCTCGGTAACCAGGATGAGTCTTCCAGCTTCAAGGAGCTTCAAGTCTAATGGAAGGGGGACAGCGATACCCCTGTGACCATAAGTGGGAGACACAAGCTGAGGAGGCTTTTGTAAGAGACCCACCAACTATGCTAGGCATACTTGGAGGGGGTGCACTCCAAGAAGGCTTCCCAGAGGAGGGGGCTTTCCAGCCCAGAGGTCTGGGACCTCACAGCCCGACCAACTATTGGTTAATCTCTCCAGCCTCTGACCTGTTTCTACAGAGAGAGCTATCAGAGCAGGACTCACAGAACCCAGCTTTGCCCAGGACCCAGCAAGCTGCCCCAGGCTAGAATCATTCGTACCTTCCCTCTCTGCTGTAGGCCCTTTGAGCTTGAGGTCCAAAGCCACTAGAAACAGCCTACCATCCAGCCTACCATATGTCTCTCATATTCCAGAGAGACGAGTGGCAGCCCACGTGCCAAATGTAGCACACAGATGCGTTCGAGAGGCCCGTAAAGTGTTTTCTTTGTACTGAATTAGCACAACATTTAAAACCCAGGAGATTTCATGTAAAGCTCGATATCCAGCTTCTCTTGAACACTTCCATGAAGCAATCTCAAGACTGAATTAGTGATTAGGGGCAGCGATCGGGGGCGGGGGGCTGGTCACTGATCAGGGCGGCTGCTCCCTCCAGCCAGCCTCCACCCCGCCTGGCCTTCCTTTGTCAACCCTGCCTAAATGCCAGTCCCCTGCTCTTCTTTCCATCCCGGTAACAAAGATGAATTAATCGCCTGCCACGTGCCGGGCCTTTGTAGGTGCCTGGGGTCCCAGCAGTGAACAAACTGCCCCGTCCTATGGGACTACGGTCTGCTGGGGCAGGGATGTGGGAGGCAGAGACAGACAACAGACACATAAGTAAGTAACTTATAGAGCATACTGAAAGATGATGAGAGCTATGAACAAATAAAGGGCAAGGGGGATCAAGGTTCAAGAAAAAGGGAAGGGCGATTTTTAAATGGAGGTGCCACAGAGGTCTCCCTAGGAAGGTGATATTGAAACAAAGAGCTGGAGGAAGGAGGGCAGAGCTCGGTGCTCCTCGCTGGTGGGACCGCTGACCTCTCCGCTACCTCTCCCCCCTCTCCCAGGGCCAGTGCTCCCAGATGTGCCACAACGTCTTCATCGTGGAGTCGGTGTGCGTGGGCTGGTTCTCCCTCGAGTTCGTCCTGCGGCTCATCCAGGCGCCCAGCAAGTTCGCCTTCCTGCGGAGCCCACTGACCTTGATCGACCTGGTGGCCATCCTGCCCTACTACATCACCCTGCTGGTGGACGGCGCTGCCTCGGGCCGCCGCAAGACGGGCACGGGCAACAGCTACCTGGACAAGGTGGGGCTGGTGCTGCGGGTCCTGCGGGCACTGCGCATCCTGTATGTCATGCGTCTGGCCCGCCACTCCCTGGGGCTGCAGACGCTGGGGCTGACGGCCCGCCGCTGCACCCGCGAGTTCGGGCTCCTGCTGCTCTTCCTCTGCGTGGCCATTGCCCTCTTCGCCCCCCTCCTCTATGTCATCGAGAACGAGATGGCCGATAGCCCCGAGTTCACCAGCATCCCCGCCTGCTACTGGTGGGCCGTCATCACCATGACGACTGTGGGCTATGGAGACATGGTACCCAGGAGCACGCCCGGCCAGGTGGTGGCGCTCAGCAGCATCCTCAGCGGCATACTCCTCATGGCCTTCCCCGTGACCTCCATCTTCCACACCTTCTCCCGCTCCTACCTGGAGCTCAAGCAGGAGCAGGAGAGGGTAATGTTCCGTAGGGCCCAGTTCCTCATCAAAACCAAGTCGCAGCTGAGTGGCATGTCCCAGGACAGTGACATCTTGTTTGGAAGTGCCTCCTCAGACACCAGAGACAAGAACTGAGCCAAGGACATACCCCACCACCACCACCACAGCTGCTGCCGCCGCCAGGACACCCCCAGCCCTGTCTGCCCTCTGCGGCTTGAAGCTATTGCCATCACTGCAAAGCCTCCAAAGGCACGCACTGCTGAGTGCGGCCCCAGCATAGGACTGGCTAGAACCACACCCCAGGCAGGACATCCGCAACATCCGCAGAGGGGTCCCTGTCCCTCCTAGGCCAGAAGTGAAGCAGAGCTGGTCATGAGCCCAGCACACAGCCCTGACCGCACCCCCTCCATCCACCCCAGCCCCCAAGCCTATTTCCCTCAATAAGGAGATGGCTTATTTTTCCCACCATGTAAATAACATGCCAGCAAAGACCCGCCTTATGGGTCCGCCTAGAGAAAAAGAAATACAAACAGCCACAGCAACATCTTTAATGTGGATCACATGCAATTAAAGAAAACCGATGAAAAGGAGAGAAAAAGCCTTCCATGGGGCTCGCTTAAGAAACTGTTTTCCAGCAGAGCCACCCAGCACAGGTGCCAGAAGGAAAAGAGCCTGTTTGCTTGGTTCCCTCAGGCCTCCTGGAGCCCAGTGGGGTTGAAAGGAAAGGGAGAAATTGGGGAAATTGCCAGTAAATACTGCATTCTCTCTCCCCCTCCCTCCCTCCCTCTCTCTGTCTCTCTCTCTCTCTCTCTCTCTCTCTCTCTCTCTCTCTCTCTCTCTCTCTCTCTCTCTCTCTCTCTCTCTCTCTCTCTCTCTCTCTCTCTCTCTCTCTCTCTCTCTCTCTCTCTCTCTCTCTCTCTCTCTCTCTCTCTCTCTCTCTCTCTCTCTCTCTCTCTCTCTCTCTCTCTCTCTCTCTTTCTCTCCCCCTCCTCTCTCTTTGACTGCTCCCACCTCCGGGCCTCTCCTTCTCCCTTTTTCCTTCTCCCCCATCCTTTTATCCTCCTTTCGTGCACCTGCAGGCCTGTATCCTCAAACTTTGGCCACAAGGCACCCCTAACGGTTGAGTCCACACCAAGTATTGCTGACCACAAAGGTGAAATCACTTCATTTTCTCTTTAAAAAAATGGTGTCTATTTTTAATTCTATTCTACATATTTAATATTTGGAAAAAATGCTTTTAATCATATACCTATATCTACATCTAAACGTAGAATGAGGTCAATGGCTTTGGGAAGGTGGGCCATGGTTTCCTGGGTAATCTGAGAAGCACAGTCTGAAACATGTGTTTTGGTGTCCCCAAAGACTCACCTGACCAGGAACACCTCCCGACCTTATGCAGTGTGGACAACCCACAGTAGAGGGAAACCCGGGCCAGCCCACAAGATTTCCTCAGCTCTCAGGGATCAGAGCCCCTTGGTGCCAGGCACCGGGAGGGAACTTCCCCCCCAGGTCATCGTCCCCAGCCTGTTTTCACCCTCACCTATATGGCAGCATCACTTTCTTCTTCATCCTTGGTCACGGCCCCTCCCCTGGGTCAGCAGCAGAAAGCACAGCCCTAAAACAAATCTGGTCATGTCACAGGGTCGCCCGGCCTAAATCTGCCAGAGGCTGTCAGTCACATTGAGAACAAAACCACGTGCCTGGACTCCGCCCTCCTCTTCAGCTCCGGCTCCCACTTCCCTTTCACCCACTCCACTGGGCTCTCTCTCTCTCTCTCCTGCTCTTCCCGTGCATTCTGCTCTTCCCGTGCACCCCGCCATTCCTGACTCGGGGCCCTCCACCGTGGATCCCTCCGCCGGAATGCCCAGCTGCAGATGACTGCAAGGCTGCTCCTTCATCGTCCTCCCGACCACCTCTGAAAGAGCCCACTCCAGCAGCTTCCCCACCCCCACTCCCTCCCCTTACCCTGCTTGACCTTCTCATCCGCTTATCGCCTCATGAATTTCTCTGCCACTCAGTCCCTCTCCAGCAGGTGCTAAGCTGGCAGGGACTCAGCTGCATGGCTTACCACTGACCCCCAGCACCCAGCACAGGGTCTGGCACCTAGTTGGTGCTCCATAAACACTTGTTGAATGAATGAATGAAAAATAAAACAGAAGAGGACCGGAAAGTAGAAGGGCATCTGTTTTCAACATTGGAGCAGGGCCTTGGAGCATCTCTCCCTCTCTCTCTCTCTCTTTCTCGCTCTCTCTCTCTCTCTCTCTCTCCTCTCTCTCTGTCTGTCTCTCCCCCTCTCCCCCTGGGGGCGGGGGCACGGTCATTTCAGCACAGAACACACGTGCTGATGCACAGTGGAAATATCATCTGAGTCACCAGGGCCTCGTTACAGGTTCCCCTGACACCTGCTTCCATGACTCATGCCTGTAAGTAAGTTTTCTGACTAATTAGCTCTACCCTCCCAGGCCGGTGGGTGTCATGGCGATCGGCCACTGCCGTCACGGTAATACCTTAGATTTATGGAATGACCTTTTTTTCCTGCCCTCCAAAATAGCTATGAGAGACAAGAGACCATTGAAAATTCTCAACAGAAACGTGACACAGAAAGAGGTATAAAATGGAGCCCTTTAAAATTCCAGGGAGGGGAAAGCAAATACTGTTTGGGGTGGAGGAGGGAGCTTTGAATGGGGCGGCGCTAGGAAGGGCGCCACCCCCCACACGCTGAGGACAGAGGCTGCCGCTGTGCAAGCAGGAGCCACGGTCGCTGAGGATCGAGATTTGCAGCATCTTCTTGCCCGGATTCTGCTCAGAGCTGGTGGCGCCTCTCAAGACCTCCTGGAAGGACCGAGGGGTTTGGATACAGAGCTGCACACCCAGAGTGGGGTTGAAGGGCCCTGAATTCTACCAAAGAATCAGGAGGCCTCAGGACCCCTAACTAGCTGCTTCTAGGACTGCGACCAACTTTACGGTTATGGCTTTTCCATGTTTTTCAGCAATGTGAAATCTGATGGAGAAAACCTAGCTGTAAATCGGATCGAATAAAGGCTGTTCCGACTGATGCGTAGACCACAGTCCCGTGCCCGGGCCCTAATGGGGCTTCCCTTTGATCCTGGTACAGGTGTCTAACTCCGTCCACCCGGATAGTGTGTGAAAATCACTGCTATGTGGAAAACAGCAAATTCTCAAATTTGCTCTTTTTTTAGGTAATGTGCTTGTCCTACAGAAGCTCAGCATTTCTGTAAGACTCAGAGCAGGGTTGGGAAGGCTGATTTTACAATAGAGATTCTCAGGCCCCACCTCTGAGCAGGGCTGGGAATTCTCGCCTTAGGCTCAGAATTTCATGGGGAGCCAAAAACAAACAAACAAACAAAAGAACAAAAACAAAAACTCGGTGACCAAGATAACGCATATTTTAATGCAATATTTTTAAAAATCAAGATTAATGCCAAAAATCCATGATGAACAAAATACTAAATTTTACATAAAGATAGGATCAGCCTTTATATTTGCCTCTCCCTAGTTCTGGTCCTGTCCCCACCTCCCTGGCATATCTAGTGATACAGCACTAATCTGCCAAGGGCATCTCACAAGAAATGCAGGTGGGAGACTGTAGCACCTGCCACCCATAGCCTCTGGGCCTGGGCACCCCACCTGCTGAAGGGGTTCAGGACGGGTACCAACACCACTTCTTATGGTAGCGAACGTCTCAGAATCAGGCCCCTGCTCTCACAGGGCTCACACAGTGATGGGGAGAGAGACAGTGACCATGTGAATTGAAGAAAATAGTTTCTGATGTTGATGAGTGCAGGTGACCTAGCAGAGAGTGACTGAGGCTGGGGGAGGTAGGGAACAGCTACTTCAGAGGGTCAGGGAAGGATGCTTGGAGCAGGTGATGTTTAAAAAGGGATCTGGAGGAGGGAGCAGGCAGTGATCCAGGCACAGAGAACAGCCAGGGCAAAGGCCCAGAGGTGGGGCAGACCCGGACATTCCACCAGCTGTCGTGGGCACAGAAACACATCCCTGGCGGGAGCATCCTTCCTCCCAGGGAGGAAACGCAGGTGTGCAAAGTAGACAGTCTCTGAACAAACATTTCCCTTTCTCCGAAACTGGCACCATCACAGCACCTGGGGACAAAACAGACAAAACAACAGAACCAGACTCAGCCCCTGCCCCAGAGGCGCTGATAATTTGATGGAGGACATGCGAATGAAATATTTCCACACATGTTGAAATGGCACAGGGTGCAGACACACGGAGCATGGAAAGAGACATCGGCATAAGAAAGCATAATTTTCACTCAGATCTCCACTTGCTGAAATGGCCTCACATATGTTTTCCTCTGTGAAAAACAAATAGTGTTATTCGGCCTGATACTGGTTCTCCTCTCTGTCCCTCTCTGTCCCAAACCGCATCCCACCCGCCCTGTTAACTCGTATCAGGAATCTGACCGCTTAACCTCCTCCAACGGGCCAGCCCTCACCCTCTCCCACCGGACTGCCGACAGAGCCTCCCCCGGTCCCCTGCTCACCCGCCTCACCTCCCCATCTGTTCTCGGCACAGCAGCAGGGGGACCCTGCCAGAATCCAGCTCAGATCACGCTCATCCTCTGCTCACAGCACCTGCCACCCCAACCTGGTGACATCCCATTCCACTCACCATCACAGCAGAGTCTCTCAGCCCCACCTCCCTGACCCGGCCTCCTTGCCTCCTCCTCATCTCTCAGCTACACCAACCTCTTCTCTGTACACGGCACAGACCGAGTATGGTCCCACCTCAGGGCCTTTGCACTTGCTGTTCCCTCTGCCTGGAAGACTCGTCCTTGAGATATACCACATCACTTGCTCCCTCTCCTCATTCAGGCCTCTGCTCGGACGTTGCTAAAACAGAGAGGCCTCATCTGACGTCATCCCCTCAGCTCTGTATCAAAGACCACACTCCCAACGAGCCCCCAGTGTATTAACCGGGTCTCTTATTTCCTGTGTTCTGATGCTTTGATATCTGGAGTCTTGCAGACCCGGAAGAGACCGCACCTCCCAGGGTTAGCCAATTCCTAGATATAGTAACAGCATGTTTTTTAAATACAAACTAACTGATCCAGACCTCATGCCCCAACCACCTCCTTTATCAGGCTCTCACGCTCTAGGCCACTACCCACCTGCCCTAATTACCCAAGGTCAGGTACCAGACAGCCAGGGACAGCCCCCAGGCTGCAGAGCCACTGAAATCATTCAAACTAGCCGATCCTAAGCCTGCTTACCCTGCCTAGCCCGTTCCTTCCCTCGAAAACTACAACAAAGGCTCTTGCCCACAGATCCCCTGTCTCCCTGCCTCTGACCAGCCCTGGTGCTCCCCACTGCAGTGCCCATGGTGTGGCACGCACCCTCCTCTTGGGATGTGTTGAGTATAACAAACCATCTCTTCAGAGGCAGTCAGTCGTCTCCTGATCTAGTGGCCTTGTCACACCTGAATCATAATAAAATCTATATTTTAGAACACTTAGCCCCCTTACCCTGCTTTGTCCTCCTCTAAAACCTGCGTATCACTCAACACATTATATATTGATTGGCTCATGGTCTTTCTCCTTCCACTGGATGGTCAGCTCTCTGAAGGCAGGAATCTTCACAGCAGTATCCCCAGTCTAGGATAGCAACTGGCACATAGTAGGTGCTCAATAAGTGTGTGCTGACTAAACGAATCAGTAAATCCCTCCCCTCTGCACAGAAACCGATAAAAGACACAAATATAATATCCATATTTGTTCATCTATATCATGGCATGAA